CGCCTGCCTCCCGGGAGTATAGCCAGCAGGTGTTGAAGAACGCCAAGGCCATGGCCGAGGCCCTTCTGAAGAGAGGGTACACCCTTGTCTCAGGTGAGGGGCGGGGCTGCGGGTTGGGAGTGAGGGGCACCAGCGGGGCAGGGGGCTGCAGGTTGGGAGTGCGGGGCACCGGGGGCATGGGCAGGTGACCCATCCTGCTCCCCCCTCCCCCACAGGCGGCACTGACAACCACCTCGTGCTCGTGGACCTGCGGCCCAAGGGCATTGACGGGGCTCGGGCCGAGCGGGTGCTGGAGCTGGTGTCCATCACGGCCAACAAGAACACGTGTCCTGGCGACCGCAGTGCCCTCACGCCCGGCGGGCTGCGCCTTGGTGAGGGGGCAGCGCACGTGCTTCTGTGCCTGCATGTGACCTTGCATGCGCATGTGTGTTAGTGTGTGCGTCTGTGGTGGCATATGTGTGTGTGTGTGTGTACAGATGTGTGTCTGCGTGCGGGTGTGTTCCTGTATGTGCATGTGTATATAGGCATGTGTGTGTCCGTGTGTGCATGTGTATACTTATATATGTGCACGCGCGTGTGTATATACTGGTGTGTGTCTGTGTGCTGACCTATGCCTGTATACATGTATATATCTGTATGTACTGGTGTACACGTGTGTGTGTGCGTGTGACAGCCCATGGAGCCTGCAGCACCTTCAGCACCCCCAAGCTAGCCTCTGCACCCCTTCCCTTCTGGGGGGGCGGAAGGGGTTGGGCCACTGGTGCTTCCAGCTGTGGAGGGGGGACGGGAGGGGCTGAGCCCCAAAGCCTCCTGTTCCCCCACCTGGGGGACAGGGGCTGAGCCCTCCTAATGCCCCCCCCTCCAGGGGCCCCTGCGCTGACCTCCCGACGCTTCTGCGAGGGCGACTTTGAGCAGGTCGTTGCCTTCCTGGACGAGGGCATCGGCATTGCCCTGGATGCCAAGAAGCAGACCAGTGAGTGGGGAAGCCAGGGGCTGCCCCCCGTGGCAGCAGGACCCAGCGCTCTGGTCCTGCAGGGACAGGCCGGATCCCTCCCTCCTGCCTGGGGAGAGTCCTGGGCCTGGGTGGGTGCTGGGGTCCAGCCCTTGCCCCCTCCAGAGTGTGTGGGGGGAGGGCGGTGGGCTCCATGGCAGGGACTCTGTTGGGGCTGGGGTCCCAGACGCCTGGGCTCTCTGCCTCGTGCTCCATGCTGCTCCCGCCACATCGCAGGGGCTGGGGAGCTGGCTAGGGCCCCTCCCGGCCA